AAAAAAAGAATCAACCAATGAATGCATAAATAAGTGGAACAACAATCGATCTCTCTCACTCTCTCTCAAATCACTAAAAAATGTATGTAAAAGTTATATACAGTCATAGTAAATTGGAAAACTCTAAGAAAATTAAAAGAAAAAATAGCTACAGTTAGTTAACACCATTTGAACCTTCTATCTTTTCTCAACGTATTTTTTTAAAGGTAAGATTTTTCCTCTTTATTTATTTTTAGAGAGAGGGTAAGGGAGAGAAAGACAGGGAGACAAACATCAATGTGTGGTTGCCTCTCATGTGCCCCCCAAATGGGGACCTGGCCCGCAACCCAGGCATGTGCCCTGACTGGAAATCGAACCAGTGGCTTTGGTTTGCAGGCTGGTGTTCAATCCACTGAGCCACACCAGCCAGGGCTCTTTTCACATAATTTTAAAATATAAGCATGTTTTCATGCATTGGAGACTTTTTGGTTAAGAACTCTGGTAAATATCATGCCAGTAGGATTTTCAAACTTTAGAACCATAGAGGCCTAGAGGAAGGGTTAAAGAGGAAGCTCAAAGGTCAGTTCAGAGGATCCCAAGACCTGAGAGATGAAGCTTTACATACCTTATTCATACAGGTGCCAGGACCGAATGTGTGTGGGTGAGAAGTGAAAGCTCAGGGCAGCCTAAGGCCGAAAGGACTATCTGGGGTCTTCAACGCAGATGGAAGATCTTCAGAGACAGGATTTTAGAGCCAGGAGAAACTTGAGAGTTATCTAATACAACATTCTCATTTTACAACTGAAGCCACAGCCGGAAGAGGTGACTTGACTTGTGGAAGCTCTGCAATCAGCCTGCCTGGATTTGCAACTCTGCTCTGCCGCTTAGGAACTCTGGACTTCAAGGAGGTCCCTTCACCCTCTCTAAGCCTCATTTTCCTGTGTGAAATGAAAATAGTACTAGTGTTTAACTTCCATGCTTATTGTGTGGATTAAATCAGATGATTCATATAAAGCACTTCGCACAGTGCCCAACACATCCTAAAAACTCAATAACTGTTCCTCTTTAATAGCAGTGTAATTTTATCATTATCCAACTAGTCAGTGACAGGGCTATGACAAGGACTCAACTCTCTTGACTTAATCTAGTGCTCTTTTTGCTGCATCGGACTGGCTTCCAGGGTCCAGAGAGGCCTGGACGTGGCCCTGGACTCAGTCATGGGGCCAAATCAAATCTTCTTGGGGCTAAACCTGAGGACTTCAGTCCATTCCAGTGAACTTACATAAAAACACTTAAGACTAGTGTCTGGAAAATAGTAGGTTCCTAAGAAATATTTACTAATGAGAAGATTTTTTTTTTTAACCAACAGCAGGGTTGGAAGGGTGGAACTGGCTTCTAAGAAAAGATCTAGAAATCTTTCACAGAAAAGCATAAGGAAGGACTTAGGGAAGAATATTATAAAAGTATGTGTTTCATATGTGTCTGTGAAGACCAGGGACAAGCAGAGGTGGTGCTTTCTGAGATTCCTTGAACTTTGTCATCGCTGTTTTTGTTAACCTTTGCATCTTTCCCTGCAGTCACTAGCAAAAATCCTATACAAACCCTAGGTGGGGGTTGTGTGTATTTTCAGAGCTGGGCAGGGTAAGAAAGAAGTGGAGAAATGTCTATCTTGATTCAAATGAGTAAAGCCGGTTTGGTAGCAGGCTTGGGGGGGCGGGACGGTTGCACCCAGGCAGAGGAGTGGACAGTGGCAGGGAAAGAGGCAAGAAAGCCAAACCCCTATGCCCTTTAACGGGGGAAAAAAACAAGTGGTGAATGGGGAGTCGTTTGAGACCATAAACTCTGGGACTGAAACTGGGAAAAAGGCCTGTGCCCCCCACACACACCGTGTTCGGCCATATCTATTCCTACTTTATGACTACAGTGGTTTGGGGCAGGGGGGCTTCTGTTAATCCTCTTTACTACTAGTGCCTCCTATATCTTCTAAGGCCACCTTGCTTACTCTTTCTCGGGACTAATATATATTCCAACTCTCCCACAGTAATAAGGTGAATGCCCATGACCTCTCTAAGATGCATGATTTCAAGCTGTAGTGTTTTCACCATTCCACTGGTCCTGGAGCTCACCCTCTTAACATCTGGTCCTATGGTTTATGGTCATTTTTTAAAATATTTATTTATTTATTTTTAGAGAGGGAAGGGAGGGAGAAAGAGAGAGAAGGAGAGCAACATCAATGTGCGGTTGCCGGGGGCCATGGCCTGCAACCCAGGGATGTGCCCTGGCTGGGAATCGAACCTGCGATGCTTTGGTTCGCAGCCTGCGCTCAATCCACTGAGCTATTCCAGCCAGGGATTGTGGTCATTTTTAACTGCCCAGAGTTTCAAGGTATACTCTCAACAGTAAAAGCTCAATAACCATTTTTGATTGATTGCAGAGTTTATACTCTAGTTGGGGAGACAACATGCCGTCATGAAATGAAAAGCCGCCCTGGCTGGTGTGGCTCAGTGGATTGAGTGCCGGCCTGTGAACCGAAATGTTGCCAGTTCCATTCCCAGTCAGGGGACATGCCTGCGTTTTGGGCCAAGTTCCCAATTGGATGCGTGCGAGAGAGGCAACAGCTCGAGCTACCTCTCACACATCAACGTTTCTCTCCCTCTCTTTCTCCCTCCCTTCCCCCTCTCTAAAAATAAATAAATTAAATATTTAAGAAAAGAAAATATGAAAAATATCTGCAAAAACGAGAGAGAAAGAAATGAAAAGCCATGTAACCACAAGCACAAAATTAAAGAATACAAACTGAGTTCATAGAGGTTCAGGAGATGCAAAGTAGATAAGTGACCTATCAGGTTGGACTAGTTGGGGAAAGTTTCCAAGAGCACATAAGTTTGGAGCTTTGAATTGGAAATGTAAGGAGGCGATGGACATGAGTTGGTGCAAAGGTGGACCTTTTCAAACAAATGCACAAAGGGAGACAATGCAAGATATAACTCAGGCCAGGACAAGTGCCTGCCCCACCCTGCCATTTCCCTGTCTCGGCAGCTCTGCATGATCTGCCACCACACCTGTTTCACTCAGAAGAGAGCTCCTTGTGACCTAGTGGCCCACCAGGCTCTCTCCTCTACCAAACTCACCACTCTGAAGCACTTGACAAGTACTCCAGGCAGGAGGAGGAGGCACAAGCAGGAAATGTTTGGCAGGCATTGTGAACAACTATGTCCCATCTCTTTATTCTGGACTTCAGATGAGAATATGTAGTCTTTTTTAAAATTTTCTTTAAAAGATTTTATTTATTTTTAGCGAGGGGAAGGGAGGGAGAAAGAGAGGGAGAGAAACATCAATGTGTGACATACATGGGTCAGTTGCCTCCCACACATTCCCACTTGGGGAACCTGGGCCACAACCTAGGCATGCGCCCTGGCCAGGAACCCAACCGGTGGCTTTTCCACTGGCAGGCTGACTCTCAATCCACCGAGCCACAGAAGCCAGGGCAAAGGAGTTTTGTTCTATTTTATTTTACTGTATTTTTATTTTAATTGTTGTTCAAGTACAGTTTTCTGCCTTTTACCCCCATCCCAGCCCACCCCTGCAGCCCTCCCCACCTCCCTCCAGTTTCCACACCCGCCCTTGTTTTTGTCCATGTGTCCGCAAAGGAGTTTTTAAGCAAGGAAATATGTATGACCACATATAAGTAATATGGTCCCACTTCTCCCTGCTAGGTGTGTGACTCTGGGCAAGTCATTAAATCTCTTAGCATTAGGGTCTTCGACTATACAGTGAGGATAATAGTAGTACCTATATCAGAGGGTTGATTTGAAGAGTTGAATGAGTTCATGTGTACTAAAGCCATCGCCACAGGGCCCAGCACATAATTAGCGTTCCATACATTTTAGCTGTTATCAGTAAAGTTCCTTAGAAAAAAATAACTTTGTCAGCAGCAACGAACACACTGTAGTGGGGGAAAGATCGATGGTGGGAAGAGGCCCGATTAAGATGACACTGTAGTTTAATCCAGTGATAAATAAGGTCTTGAAAAGGGATTTGGATATGGGAAGCTAGGGGCCTGGGAAGGTGAGCGGTTAAGTCTAGCTTGGGAGACTGGGTAAATCTGGATAACCATTTACCAAATTCAGAGATAAGGGTGACCAGAGGATAGGATTGTGGGTACAGAAGCGGATAAATGAGTTCAGTTTGGGACCTACTGAATGAGAAGTGAAGCCGCATAAGATGGGAATCTGGGGGACGTCAATATTCGCGGGGAGACCAGGAGAGCCAATGGAGAAAGCTGATTGGTCAGTGTCCACACTGTCAGTGTGAACTGAGTAGGGGGGGGATCAGGAGGAGTGTGGGAGACCCTGTCGCCAACTAACCACTTGTTTACGTTACACAACTCCGCCACCCAACTCCTCAACAGGCTTATAGCCTGTTTCCTAGTTAGTTCTTTGCTTCTTGCTTCTCGTAGAGATTGCAATTTTTTTCCTTTTGCCCTCTCTCAACTGAAAGAAGGAAAAGTCTAGCATCTCTCAACACAGCCACCTAGGTGCCTCGGAATCAGAAGAAAGGGGGTGGGAAGCGCGGGGAGGGAAGGACGAAAAATATTTTTAAGGGATCAAAGAGTCCGCAACAACTTCTAATAGAGTTCCACCTCCCGAAATCCTGCCACGCTGCTCTCCTGCCGCCCTTATCAGGCTCCTGGCCGCGAAGCAAGGCGGGAAATGCAGTCCTCAAGCCTGAGCAGGGTGGCCCGACCGAAAAACTCGCTTTCCCAACTGACTCTCTAGGCGCGTGCGCAGATGGCTGCCTCAGCGAGTGGTAAACAGAGACGTCAGGCGGGGCTGCAGCTCGGAGCAAAACAAAAGGGAGACCCGGGGGGCGGGGGGTGGGGGGGTTGGTAGGGGAATTGGTTCTGGAATAAGAGGGGCTGGGGCCGAGGGGACGTGGACCCTCTTAGGAGTGGAAGGAACAGAAGAGACGGAGGAGGGGGAGTCAGGGGAGGGGCAAGTGACGCGGGGGAGCGGGGCGTGGGGGAGGGCAGTGACTGGGGTGGAGGAAATTTGGGAGGAGTGTCCGGGGGGCAGCAACTTAAAAGTGGGTGGGAACTGCAGCTACGGAGACGTTCGCTGATGGGAGCGCGATGTATGAGGGGCTACGGAGCCTCAGGTTTAAAAGAGCAGGAAGCTGAGTGAGAGCTAGGAGAAGAAGTGTCTTCGCGGAGGTTACAGGTGGTGTCTCGGGGCTCCGAGACAGCAGGCTGTAGGCGCGAAGAGAATCAGAGTTGCGTGGAAGGGAGAGACAGCTTAGGGGGCTAGGGTACGGGGGCGAGGGGGAAGTTGGAGACTTTTTGAGGACTGGAAGGAATGTGCCTCCTGGCCCTGGGTGCTTCCCCCCTGGGGGGCGGCATCGCGAGGGACTTTGGCAGGCTCCTCTGAACGCCTGAGCGGTCCAGCCCCACGTATGGATCCTGGGAATGAGAATTCGGCCACAGAGGCTGCAGTGATCATAGACCTCGATCCCGACTTCGAACCCCAGAGCCGTCCCCGCTCCTGCACCTGGCCCCTTCCCCGACCCGAGTTTGCTGTTCAGCCGTCCGAGTCTTCCGAGTCGTCTGAGCCGTCCGAGCCGTCCGAGCCGTCCGAGCTGTCCGAGCTGTCCGAGTCGTCCGAGCTGCCCGAGCTACCCGAGCTGCCGGAGCTGCCGGAGCTGCCCGAGCTGCCCGAGCTGCCGGAGCTGCCGGAGCTGCCGGAGCTGTCGGAGCCGTCCAAGGTGGATCCAGACCCAGACCCAGGTCTGGGAAACAAGGTACACACGGAGGGGCACACAGAGCCAATCCTGTTGCCCTCCCGGCTCCCAGAACCGGCAGGGGGCCCCCAGCCCGGGATCCTGGGGGCTGTTACAGGTCCTCGGAAGGGAGGCTCCCGCCGGAATGCCTGGGGAAATCAGTCATATGCAGAGCTCATCAGCCAGGCCATTGAAAGCGCCCCAGAGAAGCGGCTGACACTGGCCCAGATCTATGAGTGGATGGTCCGCACTGTGCCGTACTTCAAGGACAAGGGTGACAGCAACAGCTCAGCCGGATGGAAGGTAACTCTGACCCCCTTACCTCCGTCCCAATACCATCTGCCCCTGGGCCCCCCCCCCACACCTCCTTACTGCTATTCCAGGACCCCCTTTGTACCCAGCCCACCCCAGAGGTCCACCTTCAATAGTCAATTAGACAAACATGTACTTAGGATATAGTACACGCGGCGCTCAGTGCTTGATGCCGGAGGATCGCAGATGAATAAGACACTGTCCTGGCCCTGGGGAAAATTGAATTCTCTGCTCTCGACTCAACACTCCCAGCGCAAGTGTTGGCTTGGGCCGCCCCAAACACTTATTCCCACAGAGAAGCCTTTATCCTATGCACTGCGGGAGCTGTGTGGGTTCTCCACAGAAACCTAGCCTTCCCTCCACCTCTACCTCCTGCCCCAACACCTTTTCTCTCCCATCCCTGTGGGATTACTTGGATTCCCTGCTTGCCTCCCAATACCTCAGGGTGGAAGTTCTGTTCTAGAACTCCTCTACTCAGGAAGAGGGAGTGGAGTTCGCAAAAGGTAAAAAGAGTGATATTCATGCGGTAAGGTAGGTGATGTAACCCACTAAGGAGAAAACAAGGAAGGGGTCGTGATCTGATAACTGCCTTGGGTTACCTGATAATGCCAAGAAACTCTCCCTAGAAAGGGACTGTCCAAGTTTGCGGGGAAAGTTGAGGAATATTAGTCATAAAGGAAAAAAAAGAGAGAGAGACCACACGGTTGGGCGTCCCTTCAGCTTTCCATGAAGAAACTGCGAGGAAGGATCTCATTAGATGCTGGGAAAACTTGTCTTGAGAAGTATGAGGCTCTAATCACAAAATCAAGGAGCTTCAACCCCTATGCATACCTTGGATGCCCAGAGGTGGTGAGGTCAGCACACAAGGAAGTGCAGAGGGTTTAAAGAGGAGAGGGTCTTCTAGGTATACGAGATCGAGGGATCAGATCTGCCGTCACCCTAGAGGTTGGGTAGAGCAGAAAACGGGACAGCTGACTGAGACCCTTGGCACTATTTCTGGGTAGACTGCCACACCACAGTCGCAGCTCATAAAGCGCTCCCCTCCTAGGACCCAGCCTACACAGCTGTTTTTCTTTTCCCTTAGGTTCGGTTTTCCCGGGTAGAAGAAATAACCTTGAGTTGTTAGTTATGCTGTGGGAGTGTAGTCCCTCCTTGTACTTGACACTTACACCGGGCTTTTTAGTTTACAAAGTGGGTTTTTTTTTTTAATTTTTTTTCTTTGATTAATCTTCACAGCGATTCTGAGATTCCACATTTTACATATTAGAGTGCTGAGGTGTAGAAAGGTTAGCAAATTCACCTAATCTCCGTAGAATGAGGATTTGAACTCAGGTCTAACTGTAGACCGTATGTGTTGCTGCTAGTCCACGCTGCCAAATTCTCTTCGTGGGAATTATGGCAAAGCCAAATCACACTGAGGCTGGGGCCTCCAGGCTCTCCCCCCACAGTCCCCACCCCCACTCTACTCCAAGGGGACCTCGTGCCTGAACTGGCTTAACTGGTCTCTTGCCAAGGTTACTACCACCCCACCAGGGGGCGGCACCCACTTAGAACAAGAAAGCTTCCTTTAGATGGCTTGGGGAGCAATGAACAGTCATCCCCCTTCGAATAGGTAAGAATTATTACAGGCTCCTAGGGAACTCACCTCTCTAGATAGGTGGCCGCACTGTGGACTAATTCCAAAATCTAAAGAAGAAGGGATGAAGAATTGGGCCTCATGGGGACTGAGTAGTAGGGAAAGAAATGGGTCTTCTCAGTAGACCCCAGAGTTAGAGGATGAAAACGGGGGAAAGTCATGGTGCCAGAAGTCACTGTGGTCCTCAGTTCCTAAGAGCCCAGGCTGGACGGACACATGTGGTTTCTTGAAGGAACGGTTGAAGTGCCATTGCTGTAGAGTCCCAGGAAGACACGTTCTTTAGCTAGAAAGAACTACTTAAGCATCTTTCTCCAGGCAAAGGATATCCTTACCTAGAGGGGCCAGAAATGCTTGAAGTGACTTCTGACTGTCCAGAGCTTGAGCCTCCCAGTTGCTCCAAGCCCTTCTGGACTTTACCTGTGTTTCTAAACAGTAAAGAGCTCCATGTGAGAGGTCAAATGCCCCTAAGGTTGTGGGGATCTTATGCACAAGTTCTTGAGGAGAAGTGGGTGAAAGGCAGTAGGAAAGAGAAGGGAGTGGGGTGGGGGGGCGGGTGCACAAAGGAATGGCTTAACCAGCCTGGGGCAACCAGTGGAATGAAACTGCTCTGGCGGCTCAAGAGTCTGCCAATCTCCATTCCATGGGCCTCTGGGCAAAAAAAATACCTTATCTCTAGAAGAATATCACCTGTGAGTGAGAAAGAGCGAGAAAGGGGAAAGAGAAAGGGAGAACGGGAAAGAGAAAGGGAGAACGTATAGCTTCTAATACCCAAGGCACTCAAGAGCCAAGAGAGACTCAAAGGGAGCTTTGCCATCACCTGAGGCCCACCCCAGCGATCAGGCCAGAAACCATCGATTCTGTACTGGAGCCTGAGTAGTACTGTCAGCTTAGTACTCTGAGGAGGGGCACTACTGGGGGGCAGGACACTGCCTGACTACAGGATAGGATCTGTGTCCTGGGCGCTTACACTTTTTATGAGACTAATTCCGTGAAACTGTAAAGAACACAGACAATTGGATACAGGAGTCAAGCAACCACTTTCTAAAAAAGAGAAGACTGAAGCTTGGGCTGGCAGAACCAGTAGAATTGAGAGAGGGGAAGTCCTTCCCAGGACAGGGGCGAAGAGAGGGAGGAATGTGCCTTGTGTATCTGAGGCCCAGTGAGGAGCCTGGCCCGAATGTGGTTGAGGGTGTGTGTCCGAAAATTGCGAGAAATCAGGGGGGAAAAAAAAAAAGGCTTCTTCAAATCCTCTGGAGAGCTGGGGCCCAAAGGCCCGTGGGGAGTGGAGCGCCAGCTGCGCCGAGGTTCCAGCCCCTCAGCCTGTTCGGAGAACTGGCTCAGGACAGGGTGGGTCAGTCCTGGGCTGGTGTTGCGCCACTGTCCTGTAAACTCCACCCAAGCTAGCACTCAAGGAAAGGGGTGGAGCTGTGGAATGCTCTTTCCCATCAGAGCCTAGTTCTTGCCGAACCAGGAGTGTGGCGTCCTGATATCCCCTCAGCCCCAGACAGCCCCCCGGGGACTTGGGAGGAGTTGAATGCTATGAGCTTTTCCAGGGTGGGTGCCCTGCCCTCTGCAGCAGGTTGTTATTCAGGTTGTCTCTGGTGCCCCTGTGCGGGCTTGAGTAGCTTGTCTTCTGGGTGGGAACTGTGTGTGTGGTCTCCTCCCCAACCTCCAGCCCTACCTTTGCCTGTTCTCCCCCCTGTATTTGACTAGCTCTGCATTTCCGGGAATGCCGCAGCTATGCCCCAGCATCCTTTTAGACTGCGCTGTGGCCCACTGACCCCCTGTTGTCCCACCACTCATGCCCCCTTTGTGTTGCCTCTGCCCTCTCCAGAACTCGATCCGCCACAACCTGTCCCTGCACAGCAAGTTCATCAAGGTCCACAACGAGGCTACTGGCAAGAGCTCCTGGTGGATGCTGAACCCTGACGGGGGCAAAAGTGGAAAGACGCCCCGCCGCCGGGCAGCCTCCATGGATAGCAGCAGCAAGCTGCTCCGGGGCCGCAGCAAGGCGCCCAAGAAGAAACCAGCTGTGCTGCCAGCTCCACCCGAAGGTGCCACTGCGATGAGCCCCGTTGGCCACTTCGCCAAGTGGTCAGGCAGCCCTGGCTCTCGAAACCGCGAGGAAGCCGATGTGTGGACCACCTTCCGTCCACGAAGCAGTTCAAATGCTAGCAGTGTCAGCACCCGGCTCTCCCCGCTGAGGCCAGAGTCCGAGGTGCTGGCAGCGGCGGCCGCCGCGGCTGTGGTGGTGGAGGAAATGCCAGCCTCCATCAGCAGCTTTGCAGGGGGGGTCCCTCCCCCGCTAAAGGAAGATCTGGAGATGTTAGATGGGCTCAATCTAACACCCTCCCATTCCTTGCTGTCTCAGAGTGGTCTGCCTGGCTTCTCTTTGCAGCATCCTAGGGTTCCGGGCCCCTTGCACGCCTATAGCCCCTCCCTCTTCGGCCCAGGGGAGGGGTCGCTGTCAGCAGAAGGGTGCTTCTCAAGCTCCCAGTCCCTGGAGGCCCTGCTTACCTCTGACCCACCACCCCTCCCTGCTGATGTTCTCATGACCCAGGTGGATCCCATTCTGTCCCAGGCTCCCACACTGGTGTTGCTGGGGGGTGTGCCTTCCTCCAGTAACATAGCCACGGGGATCGGCCTGTGTCCCAAGCCCCCCGAGGCTGCAGGTCCCAGCGGTCTGGCTCCCCCGCTTCCGATGGTAGAACCATCTCTGGTCCTGGCGGTGGCTCCCGTCCCCAAGAGCCCGGAGTCTCCTGAGCCTGAACCCTCTAATGAAGCTACAAGCCAACCCAGATTGCCTCAGGATCTAGATCTTGACATGTATCTGGAGAACCTGGAGTGCGACATGGATAACATCATCAGTGACCTCATGGATGGGGACGGGGCACTGGACTTCAACTTTGAGCCAGGTACTGCACCCCCAATTACCATAGTATCTCACAGCTTAGGCCCACTCCTGGGTGCCCGGCTACTTCCACAGTCTAAGTGAGGGGGAGACTTGGAACAAGGGGGTAGGTGGAGCTCCTGGGGAACTGGAAGGAGGGTGTCGTGTGAGAGTGGCAGAGTTTCCAGACAGGACCTCCAGGCCCCTCGCCCGGTAGCACAGGGAAGGCGGGAGAGGAGCTGTCTCTGATTTCCTGGGCATGGGCCTTGGTGGTGGGACGTGGTCATGCCCCAGATTGAGCCTCTTACCTTGTCCTCCATTTCTTCTTCCCACAGATCCCTGAGCCACGGCTGGAAGCTTTGTGCCCTGCCTCAGAGGTGGAGCCGGGGGTGCTCATATCCACTTTTTACCCCTGACCTCACCCGGGGAATTTGGGATCCTACTTTAGAGCTAGGATGGGGTCTATTCATACAGGTGTCCAGGAGAGTATAAAGATAAAGCTGCCCCATATAGGAGCTGTGGGGGGAGGGGAAGGGAGGGAGTTTATTCTCACTGTGCCAATTAGGGGGTAGGCCCCCTCTCAGGAGCCATCCTGGGCTTCCCCCATTCCCACCCCCTAGGTTTTGTAGCAGGGGCGAGCAATGCTGTTGGAAATGTGAAGTCACCAGTGGCCTTACCTCTGCCTTTGGGAGCAGGATTTTTTTTGTAGCATCTTATCTGAGCTGGTCCAGGCTAGGTTGAGCCTGGGGTTTGTATGCAGTGGCCTCTTAGGCCAGTGGTGGGGGGTGGGGGGTGGGGTAGTAGAGACCTGGAAGGGCCAAGGTCTGAGCACTGGAGTGGCTCACCAGGCTAAATGACCCTTGGAAGACTGCAGATCACACAAAGGCTTTTTATAAACTTTTAAGAACTATAAACACAAATATAGAGATTTTTAACAGTGGCAAGGTGCTAGTGATGGAGAGAATGCTTTTTTTTTTTTTTTCCTTTCTGAGGGCTTTGTCATAGTGACATGTTGCAAACACTACAGACATCACTGGAGGAAACCTGGGGAGTGAGCAAGGGGAGGCACGCCCCCACGGCCCAGGTCTAGAACGAGGTCGGTGCAGAACTAGCTCAGAGTTTCCCCAGTGAAAAAGCTAAGCCACACGCCCGCCTTCAGCCACCTTGTGCCTAGGAGTGTGTGGTATCAGGATGCAGCCACACTCTCCCTTGACCCACTGTGGGCTAGCGCCGCAGTGGGGGAGCGCATTGAAGGCCTGGAATGAGTTTGTGGCCTGGGAAGCAGTGGGAGGGGGAAGAGAAGGAGGGAAGGATTTAGGGTGGTAAAGTTAGGCACAGAGACCTCCCTGTTCAAGGCCCCTGACAGCTGTCCCTGCCCTTCTTCCCCCTTGCCTGACTACAGGGGTTATGTGGAAGTGTGTGTGGTGGCGGGCAGGGGGAGGGGCGGGACAGAGAAGGGGGAGCTGGTGAGCTTGGCTGAGGGTCTGGGAAATGAGCTGGGATGGAGGGGAATGTGGATCAGGTTTACTAGCACCTGCCAGGGAGGCCATCTGGGGCTCCTCCACCCCAGCCCCCAGAGCAGCCCCTCCCCCAGTCCCCTTTGCATTGTCCCCTCCCCCGCCCCTGCTGTGGGTTCCCATCATTTCCTGTGTCAGTGCCTGGCCTACCCAGATTGTATCATGTGCTAGATTTGAGTGGGGTAGTGTGTCAAATCAATAAATGAATAAATTCAATAAATGCCTATAACCAGCTCTGGTTTCTGCTGCCTTGCTGCCCGTGGACAAGGGGGAGGGAGGGGGAAAGGCCAAGTTTTGGCGGGAGGGACTGCCCAGAGGCTGAGAAGTGGGGGTGGGGGAATTTCAGCAGGGGCAGAAGGTGGGGGTGGGAGGAGGGAAGTGGCCCGTCAGCCACCTAACCCAAGCACGAGTGGGCAGGCTTTGATAGGCCTCCTTTGGTAGTCTGGCTAGAAGAGACCCCGCCCCCCTACTCTGTCCCTCTGTCCCTCAAAGGCTCATTGTATTAAGCTTCCCATTCTATCCTCACCCCCACCCATGTGCAGCCCCAGCCCTGCCCCGATGCTCCTATCCACCCTCAGAGCCTCCAGGGTGCGCGAGACACACTTAGGCCTCCCTGCAACCACTGGGAGAAGGGCTCTCTTGAAAAAGGAACCTCACAATAAATTCCAGTGATTTCATACCTAGTATTGCTGCTCTCACTGGGTCACTTTTTATTTGGTTTTCGTTTCTGCTTCGGAGTGGGAGTTTTAAAGCTTACCCTGAGCTTCTGGCCTGCGCCCTTGCGAGTGGACTTGATTCCACCTTTTTTGGACTGGAAAAGGAAAGGGTCAGTCAGGTAAAGAGGTTCGTGCAAGGAAGCTTTCTACAAACTAGGGCCAAAGGCAGGACAACAGAGGCAAAGGGCAGGTCTTGGGCATGGGCATTGAATTTGGAAAGGAAATCTACCCCAGGGGACCATGGTGGAGGAGCCTGGTTGGCTGGTGTGGAAAAAGGGGCGCTGGGACAGACTAAATTTGGGGAGTCTTACTGCCAAGCTCCTAGCGGATTCAGCTTTAGCGAGTTTCTTGGCTTGTTTGATTGCGAGCATTTTCAGTCGGCTTCTCTCCATTAAGGCACATTGTAAGCGCAAGGCCTCTAGAAACCAGGAAAAGGCACCCCACCTCTGAGGACTGACGATCTTACCTACCCATCGCGTCCCTCCCATGGTTGAAATGATCATTTAGAGCAACCCGGCCTAAAGTTAGTCTGGAGAGTGATCTGAAGATGCCTAGGCTTCAACAGAGAAGGAAGAAGGGAAAGATGGAAATGATGGAGTGGTGATAGGGAAATAGACTGAGAAGAGGACTAAGAAATGGGGGGAGCAATGAATGACACACAATGCACCTGGTTTGAGCTAAGTATCCCTCCTAAAGTGGGCCTAGACCCTATTCCCCTTTTCCTAGGATCCCATGATCCCCCTTGCTATATGACAACACTCCCACCCTATATTCTCCATCGCCAGCTCTACATAGAACTCTCCGTGTTCCTCCTTTCTCCTCCGTGCTCCTTACCGACTACTGAATGTTCTGGATTCTTCAGGAGAGGTACAAAGGCTAGGAAGGCATTCGCACGTGGTGTTCCTGTGAATACAGCAGTATGCTATCCACGGCCCATTACTCAGTCTCCACCGTTACAAAGCCCAACATTTCAGGACCCTACCACTCAACACTAACTTGAACTGGTTCACCTCATTTCCTCTTCTCAGATCCATCCCTAGGACCAAGGAGTGGGGGGTGTGGTATGTGTGAACCTGACCTATTGTTACCGGCACTGCCCCTTCTTAGGCTGACTAGACATGGTCAATTAGACCTGTTTGAGGGTGCCCTGTTTGAAGGACAAAGTCCACAATCCATCCTGAGGGTCTTGCTCTACCTCTGGGGAATGCTCCCAAGCCTCTACCTGGTTTCCCGCGTATCACCCTACAGACATAGTAGGTGTTTCGAGGTGTAAGGTATTTGTTGGCATAGTCTCCGGGCTTCTTCATCAGGAAAAACAACTTCATTGCTCCTGTTGTATCACACAAATCGATGGAGCCTGGAGGGAGGCCACAGGGGTAATTGGAGCAGCTGAGGAAGGAGAGTGGAGGCAAAAGGGGCCAGGGATCCTATCCAGAAGGACATTCAAGGCCAGCAGGAGGCCTTGGGGGCCAGAGACGACCCTCCTGCTTCTGACCCTTGGCCGTCAGTCCCCTCCCCAAACTCCTCACCTCTTTTAGACAACCCCAGTTTTCTGCGGACATAATACAGCAGGTGGTAGACAGCACAGTTAGTGTTGGCAATGAAAATTTGACTATCTGAGAAGAGATGGAATGGGGCATATGGCCCTTCCCTGGTTATACTGTTCCTGTGGTCGCCACTGCCCTCAAACCTTCCCAGCCCTGCACATGTACTCCAGTTCCTCCGTGATGCCCCCTCACCTCCATATTTGATGTAGATGAACGTGCCAATAAGCTCTTGTTCTTCAGAAGGGGCCTGATCAGCCATGGAGAAGGAGGGTGTTCTGGAGACCTTGGGAAATCCATGGGGTTGGGGGATTGGAGAGGCAGGTGGATTACATGCTAAAGGGAGTGCAGGCCAGGGAAGACAGCAGAGAGCTGAGAGAGCTAAGGGCAGTGGTAGATAACCACCATCGCTAGGGGGTGGGGCCTGAGGTTGCAGTAAAGGGATTATGAGGTCAGAAGTGGTCTGTGGGGTAGAACTCGGAATAAGGATAAGGAAGAGAACCTGGGTGAGGTCTGTAGAAGATTCATTGGGAATAGGGGCAACATGGTAAATCTAGCTCTAAAATGGGCCCCGGAAGGATGCCTTAGAGAAAAGTTAAGTTTTTGGAACTGCACTTTTTTTTTTCTAGTTAATTTGTGGTACTACTGCTTCCACAGCAAGACTCTAGTACTCTTTTTCCCTACTCTCAGCACCATGCCCCCCATTCTTACCGTACCTCATGTTTTCCCTGCACCAACAACAGACATTCTTGATTATTATCAACAGAAACTTTATTTCTCATTGATTTGGGAACAACTGAAGGGTAAATGGAAAGGCAGAGGGAGGAGGGCAGGGAGGGAGGGAGGGAGGAAGGGAGGGAGGGAGGGAGGGAGGGAGGATTCTGTGAAGAGGAAGGGCTGGATTGAGGGAGATGAGAAACATGTACAGGGCAAAGGGGCAATTCTTAAGGAGGAGAATATTGAATGAGGGGGCAGTCATAAGGGGTACAAAATTCAAAGTCAGCCACAGTGGGGCCAGAGGAGAATTGGGTCCAGGCTGGTTGGACAAGGGGAAGTTAGTCCAATTTAGGGCTTCACGACCCTGGAGTTCTGCCAGGATATCAGGGCTCAGGTTTCAGGTCTCAAGGTTTAACATGGGGGAGCCCAGTAGGGGCTATGCTGGCTACAGGGGGAGCCCCCAGGGGCCTCCCCGGGAGCCCCTCCTTTGGGGGGGATCTCACTGACGTGGCAGAGCCGTTCACTGTAGTCTGGCTGCAGGCTCTCCGCCAGTCCCTTAGACACACCACTCCAGGCCTAAAGACAGATATCTCCAGGTCAGGGGTCAATAAGGGGCAGGAAATAAAAGACCCAGGCTCTGTGCCAAGAGAGCGCTCTCACTCACTTTTCACCATTGTGACGATGGGACACAGACCCCTGGGCTCCTGGTACCACTGTGCCATCTGCCTCAACCAATCTACAATCAGCTCCTCCACTGGTCTCTCTCCATCTCCCCCACCCCCACAACTGGTGGGCCACATACTGACAGTTAGTGTGTGGGGGGCCTCCTCCCCTTTGCCCACCCCCTACACCCTGTCTTCCTGCAGGAAGTTGGCAGTTGACAGACTGCAGTCCCCCTATGACCATGTTCTCACCAAAAAGTTGCCCTGGTATTCCGTAACCAGATCCTCTAGGCTCTTGAGATGAGGAATTCGGGGCATCACCCTGGGGCAGGGGGAGAAAGAGGGAGCAAGAGCACATTGGTGGTGCTCTTTTATTACCCTTTTTTCCCCAGTTCTTCCATGTGCAATAAAGAGATTCTGTGTTCTCTGTGCCTGCAGCTTCTCCATCCCCACATCCACTTGGGTGACCCCCCTCATGCTTTACCACCCTGCCCTCTTCTTCTAGAAACCCTGTAATCATGAACCAACTCTACTATTCCCAGCCACCGCCGCGTCTTTTTTCTGGGATTCCCAAACTCTCACCTTTCCGGACAGCAGAACACACACATGAACAAAATAACAATAAGAATCAGTCCCATGGAGCCAAGGGGAATGAGCACGGCTTCCACTTGAAACCACGGTGGGGGCTCTGTGGAGAAGAGGAAAGGAAAAGAGTCCTAATGCTTTTCACACTCCTATGACACAGACACACCAGCAGTGGTAGAGCCCCAACTAGGTGCCTGGAACTATGCTAAACACTTTTCTTTTTTTCTTTTTTTAAATATTTTATTTATTTATTTTTAGGGAGGGAAGGGAGTGGGGGGGGGGAGAGAGAGAGAGAGAGAGAGAGAGAGAGAGAGAGAGAGAGAGAGAGAGAAACATCAATGTGCGGTTGCTGGGGGTTATGGCCTGCAACCCAGGAATGTACCCTGGCTGGGAATCGAACCTGGGACACTTTGGTTCCCAGCCCGCGCTCAATCCACTGAGCTACGTCAGCCAGGGCTAAACACTTTTCTATATACTTAATCCTCACAACTCCTGAGAGGGGGACCAGTTAGTATCTCCATTTTACAGATGAGGAAGGACAATCAAGGAGGTTAGTGATGTACCCAAGATCAAAGAGGCAGGAAATGGCAGAGGCAGGCTTATACCCGAGATCTGGCTGGTCCAAAGTCATCTTCCCTATGCTGCTGCCTTCCGAGGAATGCTGTAGGGGTGGCTTATAGATTCGATCTCCCTTTTGAGCACTCCTTGGCCTTCTTCTCAACCCATCCCCCTACTCTAACAATGCAGCGACCCAACCCTACACAGGAAAAGCCTGCTTCCTGGGGGTTGGGGTGGAACAGTGAGGGCAGATGGGCCACCAAATTTGGGAGCTTAGGGATAGGAAGGTAGAGCAAAAGACAGTGGTGCTGGAAAGGCTGGGATGCTGGGTTCGTGGGTTGCAGTTCATTTTACCTTTTGAAATATGGCCGCCCCACTGGATCGGTTGGCTCCATTCACTCCAACGCTGAGCGCTTCCACAGAGTGGGTTATAGCGGCTCCGAACACGAAACGTGTAGAGTTTCTGCACGTCCACACTAGGCAGAAAGAAGCTTTGTCTGTGGTTCACAGATTGTCCCTTGGGGAGAGAAAGTGTAAGGGAAAGATGGGTGTCTATAAAAGAAGGAAGAATTAAATGGCTGCCCCTCCTGCAACATCATCTTCTGGCTCTTCCCAGTCCCTCCCTCCTGACTACTCAAGCTACAGGGCTCCCTCCACTAACTAGAATCTAATGCCTCTCTCCTGGTCCCCCCCCCCAACTCCAATTTTTTAAAAAATGATTTCATTTCTTGACTTTTAAACAGAGGGGGAAGGGAGAAAGAGAGGGAAACATCAATGTGCGGTTGCCTCTCGCACACCCCCTACTGGGAACCTGGCCTGCAACCCAGGCCTGTGCCCTGACTAGGAATCGAACCGGCGACCCTTTGGTTCACAGGCCGGCAGTCAACTCACTGAGCCACACCAGCCAGCATCTCCAGATCCCCTTAAAGGCTTCCTTTGGTTTACTTGTCTGTCTGGTGTTGGGAAGACTATGGGTAGGGAAACCCTAATGAAAACTGAGTGGGTGATGCTAAGGAAAGAGTTGGAGAAAGGCAGGGGGTGGGCAGGGGAATGGGAAGGTAGGGACCAGGAGCTTGACATCAAGTGCTCCTGTTTGGCTGATGGAATGCTTTATCCCCACCTGCTTGGTCTTAGCTGCTACATTCATATCCCCAGTCACTCACAGTCCAGCTGTCGTCCCGGTCACTCCGATACTGCACCATGTGCTCCAAACAGCGGTCCAAGTATCTGTTGCTCCAGTTCAGTTGCAGCTGCGATTCACTCAGCTTTTGAACAGTTAGGTTCTCCGGAGCCCAGGGAATCACTGGAGATATGTGTGTGTGAGTGGTCATTCCCCTGACCTAGATAAGCCAGGATCCTGAAGGTAGTGCTCCTGATCCCTCCTCCCTTCCTCATCCCAAACCCTCACCTCCTCCCTTCTGCCCAGGTACCCTAATGGTGAAAGGTCACAGCTCTGTATACTTCAACGACCCACAATCCCAGGACTCTTGAGTCCCCCCGCCCCCCCCGTCAAATCACCCAGATCCTGTAGTTTTAGCGTCTGTGTGGTCTGCCTCCTAGGTCTCCGTGGGTCCTGGAGCTGGACAACAAATGTTTCGTAGAGATGGATCTCCTTTTTTTGCAACCAACAGCCGGAAGTGACCTCTGAAGAGAATAGATAGTGGCCACACTCTTGGGCTTTGTCTTTAGAGTTCTTGTACCTAGAGAAGGGTTAGAAGGAAGAGGAATGCTGGGGTAAACTTGGGTGCTACAGACATCCACAGCCCAGCCTCATCTCCTCTGAACTAACTTATGACTTACCCCATGAGAAAATACTGGAGTGCCTGGAATGCTGGCTACCCTCTTTCTTGGGTCCCAGGCAGTCTCTCACATCCAGCCCACCTCCTCTTCCACCCCTGTGCCATCCCCTCCTCCTTCCTCATACCAATAGCGCAGCGTCAGGTTGGTGGGCTGGGGCTCAGAGCTGCTGTTCCAAGTGCAATTCATATACTCGACATTGAATACAAAACACTGAACCTCTGGGAGGTGAAGGGTGGACAAATCAAAGATTCCAGGGGGTGTGGAGGTCAGGGAGAAATCTAGGTTGGGGAGAAAATGAAGTGGGGGAGGGGGAGAGAAGAAATGATGGTCAGAAGAAGCAGCAGCGTGAGGCACAGAACCCTTCCCCCGCCCTCCCCCCAGCACTCTTAAATTCTGCCTACATGCAGTGGCAGGTTCCAGATTTCTGTACGGCCCCTTCCCACAACCCCCCTTATCACCAAGCCCTTCCAGTACCAGGCTTCCCACCAGTTGTGATGCTTTCAGTCCCATTAGTCGGTGTGAGGAACTTTGTGGTGTGCCCCACACCCAGCAGAGGCAGCTGCAGGAACAAGAGGAATCTGAGTGGCAGTGGTCGCTTCAACATGGCGCTCTTGCTCTTCGTTCCCTGCGTGTACTGTGTCAGGAACCTGGGCCCCTCACCCACTACCCCTCCTCACCCAGACATTTCCTTCTGTCATAGCTTCCGGTGGAAAGAACCTTTGAAACCGGGGCTTATAGAGGGTGTGGCAAAGTGCACTATGACACAGGCTGTCTTCTGGGAGGTTAAGTGGTTGATCTAATCTGTAGGTGTAACACCACCCAGCCGCGAAGTGGTGTTAAGGAGGCTGAGCATACAACACTGTCAGAGACTCAAGAATCCTTAGATCGCCTAGATCCTGGGAAGGATCTTATCACCACGCACCATTCCCAACCACCTTCTTATCAAAATCATTTCATCCTCTATAGTGGAGGGTCTGGACTTCTTTCCCATCCTATGCTACACTCCTTCCTTGGCTCAGCCATCCTTAAACCTCTGTCAAAGCTCTACTGTCTCGGCTAGATGGGAAATACAGTCTTGACTCCTCGGGGCACATAGATAGCTGTCTTTCCTCTGAATGCATCCCAACCACATTATCCGTCCTTAGCTCCTGTATGAGCTGGGTCTCTGTTGACACTGGTGAGGAGGCCTGACTTAGATGGAGATTCTGGAAATGGAGGATTCCAACTCCTCCTCTCCCCCTCCCCCCATCTGCTTCCCTTCCTGTATTCTCCATCTGAGTTAATGGTATCATCACCCTCTCAGTCACTCAGACTTGAAAGCTCAAAGTCATCTCCAATTCCTCCCACTATCTCACCCTGAGAATCCAATCAGCTCCACTTTCTACAGTGTTTCTCCTCCCAGCAGGGCCCTCCTTTCCATGAGCACGGCCGCTAAATCAGCCTTTCATTCCCTCTGGTCATGATTCTTACTAGAACCCACCAACTAACTGGCCTCCCTTTCTACAGGCCCCCTGCTCTCTCATCCATTTTTCATCTCATTGCCAGACTTATCTTCCCCAAAGTACAGAGCTGATTGGAAAAACCATTTACAAAGATTGTTTATTCAGCAAGCATTTATCGAGCCTTTAATATGTGTCAGACTCGGTGCTTATCTTGTAAGCCACCCTAATTTTCTCTGTGTTAAAATTTCTCAGGGTTAGCTCAAATATCACCTCCTCCCAGCAGAATGTTTCCTGTCCGCAATCAGAACAAATGTGTGGCCCCATTGTGATTCAGTAGAATTTTGTTATTATTTGTGTTATTTGCTACTTTTATTTTCATTGCAATTTGTTACTTTTATTCCAGTAGTGTGTCTTTTCTCCAAAAGGCAATGCCGTCATTGAAAGAATATTGGCTCAAGAGTGGAGAAAAAAAATCCTAGCCTCAGCTCTGTGACTTAGTAGTTATCTAATATCCGGCCAGTGAACTTCTGCTCTTTGAAAATCAACCGCCTTATCCATAAAATGAAGACAGTAATCCCTAACTCATGGGGCTGTGTCCGGATTAAAGGAGATAATGTCTGAAAAGAATCTGACACTTAGTAGGTGCCTCTTTCGCTAGAGCAAGGGTTATTAACCTGAAATTCCTGGAAATTAGGGGATGCATGGATGAGCTCCAGGGGGTGTTAAGAATCTTCCTGGGCCCTGGCTGGCATAGCTCAGTGGATCAAGCGCAGGCTGCGAACCAAAGCATCGCAGGTTTGATTCCCAGTCAGGGCACATGCCTGGGTTCAGGCCACGGCCCCCAGCAACCGCACATTGATGTTTCTCTCTCTCTCTCTCTCTCTCTCTCTCTCTCTCTCTTCCCTCTTTAAAAATAAATAAATAAAATCTTAAAAAAAAAAGAATCTTCCTGTAAAGAACCACAACATTTTGTGTGTCTCTACGTTCCTTTTTTTGGGAGAAGGGCCACAGCTTCCATCCGCATCTCATCTTGTGAATCAGAAAAAGTTAAGAATCTCAGTGCCAGGCCCTGGCGGGGTAGCTCAGTTGGTTAAGCATCATCCCCATAAACCTGAGTTCGATCCCGGTCAGGGCACATACAAAAATCAACCTATTAATGTACGGATAAGTGAGACAACAACTAGCGTTCTCTTTCTCTCCCTCTCCCTTTCTCTCTCTCCCTTTCTCTCTCCCTCTCCCGTCTTCGCTCAGAAATCAATTTAAAAGAAAGAATCTCAGTGCTAGACCATAAAGACCTTGAGGGATTCGATTTAGCCTTTCGGGATTTCATGAGTGCTTTGTCAGTATACACGGGCTCTAAACGTCACAACGATCCTTTGAAGGCTGTATAAGTACACCCATTTTTCCGATGCGGAAACTAATACTATGGAGCCCCCATTCTAGGCCCAGAACTGAGCGAGGCGCCCGGCAGCCAGCACAGGTCCCAGCTCGGCAGCGCGGCCGCCTCCTCCCGCCTCGCAGGTTCCCATCCCCGCCCACCGCGCGGCTTCGGGACCGTCCGCAGCCGCCGGCCGTGTGAAATCGATCTGCGGCCGAAAAGCTCCGGCGCGCGAAGCTCCGCCCCACGCCGGCCTGGCCCCGCCCCGCGGAGGTCCGTATTGTCCGCCGGTTTCCGGCGTCCCTCGGTTACCCTCGGTAGTTTCCGGCAATGATCGAGAGTTTCTAACGTGCCCCCTGTTGTCTCTCGGCCGCCGCGCTCGCCACCGCCGCCCCCCTGGCGGCTTCCCCTCCCGCGGAGCCGGCCCAGCTCGGGCCTCCGGCGGTCCGGGCTGGGCAAGATGGCGGCCTTCGGGATCTTGAGCTACGAACACCGGCCTCTGAAGCGGCCGCGGCTGGGGCCTCCCGATGTGTACCCTCAAGATCCCAAACAGAAGGAGGTACGTTCCCAAGCCGGGGTTCTCGCGGGGCCACGGACCAACGGTCGGTACGGGTGGAATCCCCGACGGTTTGGGGAAGGGGAGGCGGAGCGGTGTGGGGCGAGCGAAAGTCCCGAAAGGGGAAAGAGTAAAGTGGGTGCAGGACAGTGGAACCTGGAGGGCACCCGAGTGGGGGGTGGGGGCGGTTTTTGGGTGTGACTACAGGACGACGAAGGGGTCACTCAGGAGGCGCCCCCCTCTGCACACACACCCCTCAGAAAGTTGTGTGAAGGAAGCTTGTAGGCAAAGAGCGCTGTTGGGCGAGCTCTGGGTGATGGGGAACCTGAGTGCCTGGGGGCTGAGGGTCTACATGAATATCAGGGCCTCGCGCGAAATAACAATCTATGCTACTCAGAGTCGTCCTCCCACCTTGTCCACCCCCCCCCCTTCCCTCCTTTTCTCCTGCCCTCCTCTCCCACCACCACTACCCCGCTGGGGGAAAAAAAACCACGCTAAAATGTTGCTTTCCTGCCTCAGGACGAACTGACGGCCTTGAATGTAAAACAAGGTTTCAATAACCAGCCTGCTGTCTCTGGGGATGAACATGGCAGTGCCAAGAATGTCAACTTCAATCCTGCCAAGGTGAGAAAACCCTGCCAGGCTGAAGGAAAAGGCTGGAAGAATCTGAGAAGGAGCAAAGGCCGTGGGTTGGGAAGACTTAAAGGGACGATCTCAGTGGCTGAGTTTTCCTTCATAAACTAATGCTACCACATTGGCAGTTGCCCATCAAAGGCACGACCACCTCTTTCTGCCCTTCCTTCCCACCCTGAGGTGTAGTTTTCTTCCCTCAGATCAGTTCCAACTTCAGCAGCATTATTGCAGAGAAGTTACGTTGTAATACCCTCCCTGACACTGGTCGCAGGAAGCCCCAAGTGAACCAGAAGGACAACTTTTGGCTGGTGACTGCACGATCCCAGAGTGCCATTAACACCTGGTTCACTGACCTGGCTGGCACCAAGCCACTCACACAACTAGCCAAGAAGGTGAGATACTGTTTCTTGTTCCTCAGGCCAAGGTGGGAAGCATGGGTACCAGGTGCCCTCCTGTTCCCAGATTAAGCTACATGGCTGACAGATTGCAGTGGCAATAGAGGTCTCACTGTTTGTGATCTCCATCCAGGTCCCCATTTTCAGTAAGAAGGAAGAAGTGTTTGGGTACTTAGCCAAATACACAGTGCCTGTGATGCGGGCTGCCTGGCTCATTAAGATGACCTGTGCCTACTATGCAGCAATCACTGAGACCAAGGTTAAGAAGAGACATGTCATTGACCCCTTCATGGGTGAGTAACTCCCAACACCACCGGTCCGTCCCACCACTGATCGCTTCAAGGAGCAATAGACCCTTGGAATTATTCTCTTTATCGGCACTCCTTCCTTCTGCTTCTATTTGTATTCTCTCAATTTAGTAAGCAGCCATTAGCTGGAGTGTCTACTGTGTGCGTGTACTGGGCTCTAAAGAGGACCCGTCCCTCATCCCTGCCCTTAGGGTGCTTACAGTCTACTAGGGATGCCAAGGCATGCGTACGAATCACAGAATTGCGTATAGAAAGTAGTAAGTGTCAAAAGAGGAGGCAGAGACTTCTTTGAGACTTGAGTGGACAGAAACGGCGCTTTCTTTGGAGAACAGTTGACATGAGCCAAAGAGGACGAATAGGGTTTAGAAGTATAGTAGCCCTCCCCCCTTATCCGAGGGGGATACGATCCAAGACCCTCAGTGGATTCTTTCTGTTTTGTAAAGATTTTATTTATTTTTTAGAGAGAGGGAAGGGAGGGACAAAGAGGAAGAGAAACATCAATGTGAGAAAGAAACAGCCTCTCGTATGTGCCCCAACTGGGGACCGAACCCACACCTGGGCTTGTGCCCGGATTGGGAATCAAACCAGCAACCTTTTGCTTTGTGGGGTGGTGCCCAACCAACTGAGCCACACTGGTCAGACCCCTCAGTGGATTCCTGAAACCGCAGAGAGTAACAAACCCAATGTATACTGTGTTTTTTTTCCTATACATACATATCTATGATAAAGTTTATAAGTTAGGCACAGTAAGAGATTAACGACAGTAACTGAAAACAGAACAATTAGGACAATATACTGTAACAAACGTTTTGTGCACGTGGTCTCTGTCTCAGAATATCTTGTGTTGTACCCACCCTTCTTGATGTGCGATGATAAAATGCCTGAGTGATGAGACGCAGTGAGGTGAATGACGCAGGCATTGTGACATAGTACTAGGCCACTGCTAACCTTCTGACAATATGTCAGACGGAGGATCAT